TGTAAAGCAGTACGAACAAGAAAAATCTTGTGGGTACAATGAAAAGCTTCTCTTAAGTCAGCACAATTTTATAAAGTTATAGGCGTATTTTTTGTTGCAGAGAATGACCCGATCCGAATCAGCCATTCTGAGCAGCAGAAATCATTACCGCGCCGTGCCGTCATTCTCCATGCACAGCATTATCAGTTATCACCTTCCGGATTTCCGCCGACCATCCTCGCCGTAACCAAAGCCGTAACCTTAGTTTAATGTTCCCGTCAAAAATTGTTTGCATGCGCACACAGCGTCATATGGATTTATATGTACTTTACATTTATATGTACTTTACATTACATAACAAGTGTACTTATTGTTGTGAATTGTCCTGTGGACGCACACGTCAGTAAAAACCTCGTGAATAGTCAGTAAGTTTAGAGATTACTTTATATTGAAGTTTGGTTTTAAAGACATTACAGTCGCTTTCGATACGCGTCCAAAAATATGTATTGCATGGCAATAAATATGGCATATCCATCTTATGTGGCAATAAATATGGCTAAAGCTGACGTGGTATATAAGCACCATGTAAAGCCACAACTTCAGAGTTCCCGGCTGACGGCAGCAAGCACGAGGAGTGCTTGCCCCAGCAACTGTTAGCCCCATATAGGTACATAATTACATTCAGTATAATATAAGGTATGTACAAAATAATCAAAGTAATCAATACGGACATGCACTTTCCTTGAACTGAACAGTATTTAACAATACTAGCAGTGGTTGCGAACCACATTATTGGTTGCGAACCACATTATTGGTTGCGAACCACATTATTGGTTGCGAACCACATTATTGCACGCGAACCACATTATTGGTTGCGAACCACATTATTGCACGAGCGCGAGCGCCAGTACCACTGGAAAATGGTAATGGGATTGTGGAATTGGAAAAGCGTGCCATACGCCCTTCGTGGCGTCAGGCAAATTTTATGCTCTTGACGAAGACTTATTGTAGCACCTCGCGCTTCGCGCTCGGTGCAAACAATACAATGTGTTTTCTTAATTATTTCCATATAATTCTCGACCCATGAAGGAACAGACTACATCTGCAATATGGTTACAAAACCCTCTGGATGTCATCAACCTTAAGACTGGAAAGCCATCCGGTTCCTGATATCGAATATTTCCTGTTATGTACAGAGTAGTGACTGCACAGCGCCGCCATTTTTCGCGTATCCGCGGACTTGAAATGCGGGTTAATACTGCAGTGCTTAATTACAGACTAAACAATACCGGAGAGTGGTGCAGTTATTATTATGGAGGGTCCTTTATGCGCGGTTTGATTACTGTACTGTGCAATCACAGCGATCCGCTGCTACTTGTTACTAGGGTAGCGATTAATCCGGCAATTGCCGAGGTATCAACAAATTTTTTGTTGAACTTAAAATTCATACCATAGAAAAACAATAATACAATGAGCTTAAAATATTTTTTTCAAAATTTTTGCTGCAGTAGTTAAAATTTGAAGGGTAGGTGGAAATTCCACCGACTGGGCATTGACGATATACAATATGTATGCAGTACTATGCACGTAATGACACTAACGATTTTGGGTGTTTTTTCAATGTGTAAATTTAATCATTTGAATTAGTGTAAATCGGCGCATGCTTATTGTCATTGTGTGCTGGCTGACTAGCCGAATAAATAATAATACGTATAATACGGCAATGCGGTTGCACTGCCGGTGCGACACCACACAAATTCCTTTGTACTCAACGTCGTGGCCACTTGATCTACTCGAATCAACCTGCTGGTAATAGCTGTTTACGATAGTTAGTTTATGCCAATTAATTCATCATGAAACGATTCACTGTTGAATTTATAATCGAAAAAAACTGTGGTTTTCGGTCAGTATGTAACAGGGTCATGATGGGCTGCGCCAGCTTACATGTGCACAAAACTGATCGCGCCAGCCATATTTATGCTTGGCAGCTTCGATCATAACGTCGTTCTATTGTTCTTCCAGGCTCCTTGATGCAGTGTCATGTAGCGGCTACAGTAGTGGTCTTTCTGAACGGAAACAGGACGCAACTGATAGCGGCTGGGTTGTATAATAGGTTAACGAAGCCGTCACTGGGAGTTGCGGAATAGCAACCGGTTGAGGTACCAGAACGGATCATATTGCACTCGCGAAAAATAAAAAAAATACATACATAAATAATACATAATACATAAATAAAAAATACATCACTGTTTTATAGGCCAGCAACACAACGGCAGCATGTTCAAACGTTTTAGTTGTCAAACTGCGTTACTTCCGTGGCGAACAACAACCAAGAGCTGCAGTACCTCTATATAACGATTTAACGCTAACGATAAGCGATTTAACGCTAACGGAGCAGCTCCGCGTGGGCACGCAGGTTGTTCTGCGGATCATTGTTGGCTCGGTGATCTTCTGGCTGTTTTGTCAGTGCCGCCAGTATGTCAGCGACAAGAACGGTCCATGTCTCCAACTACACCTGCACAGGCCAAGTAAGTGCTCCTACGGCCTTAATAATGTTAAGAACTTGAGAACCAGTAATATTGTTGGTGATTGATCGACTATGAGTCATTTTCGTGTCAGTTTTGTGTAATAAGATGTTCATGGCGGCAGGTGACTGCAAAGGCCCGGAGGCCCAGAAACCGGATCAAGGAAAGCGCACAACCTGGTGGAGGAAGAATCCTGTTAAAGGGCGTCTCTTTGCAGTGGCTGTCATCTTGTTGGTGGCTTATTTACTCGACTGCGCGCTGGACGGCGCACCACAGGCGAGTGGTAAGTAAAACTACGGCCCGATTTCGCATGTTACTCGACATTTGGTCCTTACAGAACCGAAACCTAAAAATTCTTCGAAGAATGAATAGAGTAAACAACCGATTTATATTTACAGTAACCCAGTGATCGGTGCCACGACGCAACAGATGTGGCCTCCTCGTAGCCAATACCAATTCCGTATTTCCAACTCCGACGGAATTTTTAACACGATCTACATTAAATACCCGCTGAAATTATTCGCCAACGAGGCGAATGCACCTGTTTATTTAGCGAACCTTCTTGATCCAGACTGCATAATGTAACAGCTTTCATGTACTGTATACATTACTGTTTGTTAGTTGAAGTAATATTCACTACTAATTTCATGTATTATTATATCGTTGGTGTAATTTTTCCGTATTTTTGTGAGTATTCAGTCATACTGGTGTTCTTTGAGTTTATTTTCGCCACGGTGGGTGTTCGCGGAACTTTTGTGACTCCCGACTTTCTTTTGGTTGTATTTACTCGATCCAGTTTAACCTGATTAAAATAATTATCGACGTCCCAAGTCATTTTCAATTAGTCGTGGTTGACCGCTGCACTGTCCAATAAGCGCGAAAGGCTAACGGATCTATACATTAATTTTATGTTCAGATTTTATATAACTCCTGTCCGGAATTGATCCGATCGGTCACCGTTAACTTGCATGTGTTGTTCACTAAATATGCAGTAATACGATCGATCGGACAGTAGAAAAGACATGGCGCAGTAGAAGTGGGAAAGAATAAAGCATAAGTTGTACGTGCGCAGCGGACGGAAAATTATTATTGCCTGGAATGTGCTTTACCGGAACCGATGCGTGTCATATTACTTTTATGAGTTCTCGCATTACAGCGGCGAAAGTATGGGAAAAGCATCAAGCCATATTTTGCACACTGCCGAGGGTCTGATCATGGTAAGAGCTGTTCCAAATGCCTTTCCAGCACAGTAACTCCGCCACTCCTTGTTTGCTGGGCGAAACGTGGATCGTCGGTGCTATTCGTGTCATGTTGTACGCAGAATACTGGTCTCATGTCTACATTAGCGACATGATTGGCTCGTCGCGAGCAAGGATCGTGCTTAGTACCGTATTCGTCCAGAGCCGGTACGGGTACTGCATAGTGTAAGGTACGGACATTAAACCGCGATATGGCCGGCTTTCCACGAGAAATCCCGAAGGATCACACAAGCTGCACTGGCGCCAGTTAGAAAGCAAGTGCCGCAGTATCAGCATCTAACAGCATTACCGCTTACGTTCAATACTATAGATGCGTACTGTAGATCCACCTGTCGGCAGAAACAACAATTACCTGATTGTCTTCCTGGTGTCTCTAATGAGCTTATTAAGGAAACTAAGGACACAATCAGGTTTTGCTCCTCCGATATTAGGTCTTGGAAAACTGCATCGATCGTAAACGGCGAACAGACCAGCAGAGTAAGCGCATTACAATACTTGTACAATTTACGGCATACCGACATTTCGGCATAGGACACTTCCGCATACGGTCGTTTCGGCACTGGAACATTTCGGCATATAATCTAAATTCAAAAAGCTAAGAAAAATGTTAGAAAAACCTAAGAAAACATAAGAAAACCCAAGACTTGCGCCGTTTTTGCGCCTTCTAGCCAAAAGCAATACTTACCCTCTGCGTAACGCCGAAAACGACAATTCTAGAAAAATAAATTAGTGTGAGCCGCGATTGCGCAGTTCCAGTACGTTAATTATTACTGCTTTATCGAAACCTGGCTTGCGTCACACAACAGGTTAGCTAACCGTAGTATGGTTCGAAAGAGGTTTTACTTATTGTAGTTATTTTCGTAGCCTAAAGAATCAGTGAACAGACTTTACATAAATGTAAGTACAGCCATGTTTTTATTACTAGTAATATTATTTTCAGCAAGGGATCATTTTTTAATTACTAATATATATAATCATACACTGAGTGGATCGATCGTACGAATTTCAGTTTATCAGCAGGTGTTGCACGGCAACGAGGTGCTTAAACAGTGTAAGGTACTAGTGGTACAAGAAATTGCTTACTTCAGTATGTACAGTACTTGGCTTTGACGATAGGTTACTACTTAATAATTATTAATGTTATTATTAATTTTTTATTGTGCATTTTATGCTCAGGTGCGCATTTTTTATAACTACGTAATGCTCTTGAATTGCTCTGCCAGTGAAGAATCGCCCAACAATCTCATCATACCAAAATCATCATACCAACAATCCCATCATACCTAAAAGGCTAAAACAGTCTGTTTTTTTACGATGATTTTATAACTTGATATCGTGACCTTTCCTAAATGTGAAATGCGGCATCGATGGATAATTATTGCTGTCGACTGCAGTACGCTGCAGTAGCGTCACTTTGGACTTATTTTGTGCTTTCCATGGCCAGCACCTCAGTGTCCGCTTGTCCGACGGCTGTACCAAAGGCCTGCCGTAGTAGCACTTGTTACTACAGCATCGCCACCTGTACGTGCATTTACGGCCTTGCTGCATGGACCTCTTAAAGTTTGCACTGTGCCTCATGATTATGTATGCTGCATAAGCATGTTATCATTAATGCTAAAAGCCTAAAACGTAGATAAACCATGTCTGTCTTACAGTGGACAGAATCGTTCAGGAAGCCACCTACAACCCAGCCAGCGAGAAGATCCATCTAGTGTTTGAGCGAGGAATACCGAGTGCCATGCGCAGCCTCGTCCAAGTGGTCCGTGTCGACTCCGGTGACAGTGCCTCCTTCCCATGCGCCGTGCTGAATGTCACCTACAGCACTCCGCTGCAACTTCCGGACGTCTTCTGGATGCACAACCAACGCCCGCTGGCGTTGCTGAGCAGGGAGCACCTCATTCACGAGGGCATCCTCGACCTCCAGCATTCCGTACAATCCCGTCCGTCGTCGACATCCGTCTACGCTGACACCACTGTAACGTTAACCATGAAAAATGTCTCGTGGAATGTCCGCGGTAACGTGACCTGTTCCCAACCCTGTCTCGCGCCTTTTGCCACGCTGCCCGCTGTGCTGAAACCCGGCGACGTACCTTTCTGCTCCAACGAGTACCAGTACTTCCACCTGCTGGTCTTTCCTTCCGCCAGCGAGCTCTTCCGATGCCGCTGGTTAATGTGAGCGTGCGCCGCGGAGCGGATGCCCATATGAACTGCGTCACCAACCGCCTGCAGGCTACTGAGAAGACCCCGGCCTTTATTTGGCGCTTCAACGGCCACGTCATCGCCGCTCCGGCCGACCACCCGCTGCAGGCTCTGGCCAGAGCCGTGGTGGATCGTCGCGGCGGTTCCGTAGCAGCGGAGCGCTTCCCGTTGCGGGGTATTTCAACAGCCAATCAGTTGACGTTCGGCGTTTCCGTCAGCAGCACGGCGACCACGGTCACCAGCGCGCTCTCCATCAGCAGCGTGGATTTGCACACGTCGGCGCGTGTCGAATGCTGGGTGCGGCTCGAGGAGAGCCAGGAGGTGTGGCGCCGGCAGATCGCCTACCTGGATGTTATCACCACTCCGGCCGTTTGATCTCTCTTTTCTGGATGACAGTTAAAAGCTGTCAATTTGAAGAGCGGCTTACTGCGGTGTTGCGTGGCAAGTACGAGTATTGTATGCACTTGCATAGATAACTGTATTCTATTTACGTCTTAGATGGTATGCAATCAACATTTTTGTCGGCAAACTTAACGAACTGAACGTTTAACGAATGCCGCCAACGGGTGCAGCCGCCATTATGGCAACTTTTCTTGCCGGTGTCTGGCCAGTGCTGAACAAGCTGCCTAGCGTGCGCTGCAAGATTAGGCCACCGGAAAAACTGATGGTGAGAAGGCAGAGTCACGTGGCCTGGCTGATGGTCCCCGTCAGCGTCAGCATGTTCCACGCGCGCGTACGGTAACGCTGCTGCATGTGCTGTTTCCAGTCTCTGTTGAGGTCTTTGCAGCGAAACCGATGACCTTTTGAAGCTGATATGTCCTTTATGTAATCTGCTGGAGACCTGTTGGTAGTTTCTGTGTTTTTACGCATGCATGCTGCTGCAGCAATTCCGCCGGTACCACGCTACCGCTTGTCGAGGCGCACTGGCAGTCTGGCGCAGCCTTGGTGTAACCGCTAAGATATTGTTGTTAGAGCATCCAGCCGTAAAATAAAAAATAATATTGTACAACTATGAGATCGGAAGTAAGCCTCAAAACTGGAGAGCAAAATCATCGCCAAAGCCTTTTTCAAAATTCATTTCATATAAAAAAATTGTTATTTGTAGAAAAGCACAGAAATAAAAAGAAATAATGTTAAAACTTATTTAGGCACTCGAAAATTGCTAGCCACGAACTGGTACTGGATGTGATCGACTAAAGCACAAGAATAACACAAAACTCCTCACCGTATTTGCATCCTCAACATATTTGGAAATCCTCGCCGTATTTTGCATACACAATTAGCGAAAGACGAGTAATGGGTGGAGATACACGGTGTCGTGTTTTGAGGTAGAAGATGTGCACCTTATATGTACTCCAAACTTGTCGACCCGAGAGCAGCGAAGTCTCCCTAACTAATCAAGTGAAAATGCGATACTGGATGTCGGCGTGTTGCGCCCTGTTACCAAAGCCAGTTGAAAAATCGTGATAGAAGTGTATGGGAAGCTAATTTGCTAGCCTTTTTTAAGTGATTCTAAAAAATTTTACTATGTCAGAGGCGTACGACTGCGCCTGGTGCGTACGGTCCACACAGGACGTACTCGCACCATTGCTTGCCGTTATCACCTCTCTCGCTGTACGTACGTGTGCTGCTGCACTGCACTTATCCGCTGAAGCGGATATACGCAGCGCATACACTGAGCCACACTTGCTCTCTCGTTCCTCTCTCGCAGTATGACTCAGCGTTCATACGCTCGCGTTGGATAGAGTCCAGTCTGCGCATCATCACACAGCTGATGGCACACAGCACGTGCTTGCCGCCAGTTGCTTCTTTACACGCCTTGAAGACGCTCAAGAACCTTCCTAGCATACACTTGCTATTAGATAATTAGCCATCAGGGCTTTTGTTCTTGCTTTCCTGCTATCACGCAGTATTGTTCCCCCTTTATCTGTACAATAAAGCATCACTCGTGATCTCCTCGTGCTTGTCTGTTACAACTAATAATTTATCTAATTATCTGAATAATTGACAGCTTTTAGAAAGACAAAAAAGCTGCGCTCAAGTCTGCCAGTACACACACCAAGGTGGATTTTTTGTGTTGTAATGTAAAGTTCTGTCGAGCCCAGTCATTACACTACAGCATGGTACTCGTTAGTACAATAATTTTTAGCATCCAAAAAAAGATGCACTGTGATCTTGTGTAAACTAAAGCAAGCCAAGGCGAAACATGAATGAAGTATGTTGACCCCACTTTGGTATATGTCAGCCGGCGCAGTGTTACATCATGGTAACCGTGCATCTCCTACCCGTAATACGAAAAAATTCCACGGTAGCTGTGCGTACTAGTGGAAGACTGTCAGTGGGTGTGTTCGTGGCAATTGTTTACCGGCAACTTGCAGCTTGTCAGTATCGGCCGGCGGAAACCCGCAGCTGTATCCGGCGCTCATTTTGTCACACAATGTAACTTCCGGAATAACTTCCAACTTCATCGTCCCATGTGAGCCAGTAATGCTAGTACAGCGTGGTCGTTCATTAATTTTGTCACTAGGTGTGGGCGGTGTCTGGTTAGTGTTTACGTGCAACAGGATAGCTTGGCCGGGAACATGCTATTCAAGTCTCGAGTTCCATGTCAACTCTGAGCAAGAAACTGCAAGGCACAGCACCGGCAAACCTTCGTCTTACCGGGTACTTGTTGGCATTCATTGCGGAGAGCAGATGTAAGAAGATTCACTGCATTTGCCAAAGCTTGTGCGTACAGTAGATATACCCGTTAGCTAGCGAAATGCTGCTGCCCATTGCGAACATCGTAGCGGCATTCTCCGCCGTCGCCCTGCAGAATAACGCCACCACCGACTCCGCAGTTGGGAATTTTGCTATCGGCGCTGACACACGCTCTCCTGTGGTGAATAATGTTTCCTTACCCATTGCACCTTCGAGCGCCCTGGACGCTGTCGAGGTACCGGCAACGCCGGTCTCTAATAATTCTTCGGCGAATTCAACCCCGAAACTGACTGGGACCCTGGAATGCGGAAACGCGACAAGCGGTAATACGCGGAAGGTATGCCTCAGCCCTTTCCAGCTCTGGCTGCGGATCGTTGTGGGCTCGATCATCTTGCTACTGTTTTATCAGTGCGCCGGCTACATAAAAATTGAGAGCGATCCACAAGACCAACAACACCTGAGTGAGTGCTCCTATGGCATTAGCTATGTTAAGAAGAAGTAATACTGTTTGGGATGCGACGTGCTGGGACACTGTGGCCATGTCCCATGTTAGTGCCAGTTCAAGAAAAGCCGGAAGCGTAGCCCAGTTGGCTGAAAACTATAAGCGCAACAAATATGCTTTCGTCGAAGAACTGGGATATTTTTTTCTACCCTCTGGCGGTGGAAACGTTCGGTACGTTTGGAGTATCTTTTGCTGAGCTCATCCGTTTCGCCGGCCGTAAGATTCGCGAAATTACCGGAGAACCACGATCTACGGCCTTTTTTAAGGCAGCGCTTAAGCCTTGCAGTAGTCAGAGGAAATGCAGCTGCGGTTTTGGGTACACTGACTGCACGCCCCAAGATCACTAATGGGACTAACGATTTTGGATGTTTTTTCAATGTTTAAATTCTGATCATTTTAAGTAGTGTAAACCTGTGCTAGCCCATCTGATCTGTAAGCTGACTGGTGTCGAATAAAAGTTAACAGTAATACTGTTTGTGATGGATGTACATCAATGTAACATTTTCGTGTCATTTTCATGTAATTAGATGTTCTTGGCGACAGGTGACTGCCAGGACCCCGAAGCCCAGCAGCCGGATCAAGGAAAACGCACGACATGGGCAGAGGAAAATCGTATTAAAGGGTTTTTCCTTCGAGTGGCGCTGATCCTATCGGTGGCTTATTTACTGGAGCGCGCGATGGACGAATAATCAGAGACGACTGTGGTAAGTGAAACTCCGGCATTAATTCGAATGGATATACCCGGGATTTGGTCCTTACAGAGCCGGCAATCTGCTAATTCTTTGAAGATTAAACCAGCGTACTCATGTTTCACGATTTATATTTTCAGTAACCCGGTGATCGGCGCCGCGACGACGCTACAGATATGGCCTACTCGTAGCAAATTCCACATCCGCATTTCCAACTCCGCCTGAAGTTTTAACCCGATCTAAATTCTAAAGTACATATCCGCGGAAATGTGCCGACAAGGAAGCGAATGCACCTGTTAATTCAGCGAATCTGCTTGATCCAGACTGCATAATGTAACAGTTTTGATGTACTGTATAAAATTATAAATTACCATTTGTTAGTTGATGTAATATTCATTACTAATTTCAATTTTCATGTATGATTTCGTCCGTTAGTACAAAGGTCTGGTGTAATTTTTACGTATTTCAGTAAGTCATACTGCTCTTCTTTGAGTTGTTTTTCGCCAACACGATTTGTTTTTTTTCGAAACACACACCATCTATGGTGTGTGTTCGCAGACCTTTTGTGATTTGCGCCTTTCTCTTAGTTTTATTTACTCGATCCATTGTTATAACTAGCCGCTGCGCTGTCCAATAAGCACGAAAAGCAAACGGATCTGTACATTAATTTTGTGTTCTGATTTTATAATCTCCTGTCTGGAATTAAAACCGATCGGTCAGCGTTAACTTACGTCTTATTCAGTACATATTCAGTAATGCGATGGATCGCTTCAGTGAGACGATCGATCACGCAGTAGAGAAGTCACTGCGAAGAAGCAGACTTAAGCTGTACGTGTGCAGCGGAACAGAAAATTGTTGCCGGGAATGTGCTTTACCGGACCCGATGCGTGTCATGTTACTGTACTGAGTTCCCGCATTACAGCGGCGAAAGCAGGGGAAAAGCATTAAGCCATATTTTACTCACAGCGTGACTGAGGAGAGGCTGATCATGGTAAGAGGTGATTCATTCCAACACAGTAACTCCGCCACTCTTTGCTGGCTTGGCGATCCGTGGATCATCGGTGTTAGTCGTACCATGTTGTACACCGAATACTGGTCTCATGCCTACATTAGCGGCTTGGTTGGCTCCTCGCAACCGGGGTCGTGTTTAGTACCGTATTCGTCCAGAACCGGTACGAGTACTGCATAGTGTAAGGTACTTAAACCGCGATATGGCAGGCTTTCCACGAATACTTAACCCGAAGGATCACACAAGCTGCAATAGCGCCAGTTAGAAAGCAAGTGCCGCAGTATCAGCACATAACAGCATTACCGCTTACGAGCAGTACTGTCGGTGCGTAAATTCATGCTCTGACTTCAATGCCTGACTTCTTCCCTGTACTCCCGTCTGTCACCGGCATTTACTGACGTCCGTGTAATGTTCACTCTGAAAAACGTCTGCTGGGAGGCCCATGCCGACCTGTCCTGTGGTCAGTCCTGTCTTGTGCCTACGGCAACGTTTCCCGTGCGGCGAAAGTTCGGTGACGCGTTCTGCTGCGCCAGCCAACACAAACGCTTCCGCTTGCTGGGATTCCCCGCTGCCAACGAACTCTTCGCGTATCTTACTGTTGTTCATAATAAGTTAACAACAGCTCCGTTGATGTAGCCAGAAAATCTCAGACAGCCACAGACAGGGTGTCAGATACTCCACCTGTCGGCAGAAACAACAATTCCCTGATTGTCTTCCTGGTGTCTCTAATGAGCTTATTAAGGAAACCAAGAACACAATCAGGTTTTGCTCCTCGTAAATTACGTACTCTGTATGTAGAAGTACTGTTTTGATATTGGGCTTTGGAGAACTGCATCGATCGTAAACGGCGAACAGACCAGCAGAGTAAGCGCATTGCAGTACTTGTACAATTTACAGCATACATACAGTTCGGCTTAATGACACTTCGGCATGCGGTCGTTTCGGCACTTTAACATTTCGGCACTCAGCTATTACGGCATGAAATCTAAATTCGAAAACCTAAGCAAAAATTAGAAAAACACAAGAAAGCATAAGAAAACACAAGACTTGCGCCGCTTTGACGGCAACTAGCCAAAAGCACTACTGTGTACTTACTTACCCTTTGCGTAACGCTTAAAACGGCAATGCTACAAACATGAATTAGTCAGCCGCGATTGCGCATGTCTAATACGTCATGCATGGCTTCAGTTCGCAACCACTGTGACGTGGAACGGCAACAGGATATTCGACCTTGTTTTTCGTATAAAAGAGAGCAAAGACGAACACGTGTCTAAGGGAAAGAACCCGGTACATGGTGTCAAATTAGTGTACGACTGTACGTGCACGAGAACACTCACTTTTGGGTACTCCCAAACTATTTTTTGCTGTTTTTATGGCATTCTGTTGCCAGATATTTGTGTACTTACATAAAGGCGTGAAAACCGTTTGTGCGCACAACATCGGGTTTGCGAGTTGTGGCTTATGCCTGAAAAAAAATCTCCGAAGTTTAATGTATTCTAGTGTACCAAAAGTCACATTATGCACCGATCTTCGGTTTCACATCGAACCAGAGAGCATCGTTTTTTTAGAACTTTATTATGTATTCTAAAATTTTGTGAAATTAAAATAAAAGTTTTCGTACATGTACTTATAGGAATTTGGTACCATGTACATACCGGTACATGTCCCATAAGATTAGATTGGATTTATTTTTTGGGACATCGGTACAGCATCTCCTCTGAGCATTTGACGTCCAAGCATTGTAAAGATTGCAGCAACAGAAAAAACCGAAACAAAAACAAAGATGTTTATGTGATTGTATGCAGAACAGTAATACAAAAAAATATCCAAAGGGAGAGTTGCTAGATGGGCACGCATACTCTGGTCGGCCGTTCGTTAAAAAGACGAGACAGGTGATTGTATTACAATCCAGGAATCCCGAGGGGCTCGAGCTGCCTGAGCTAGGACACCGGCCGGATGGTTTCCGCCCAACCTGCGCAAATGCTAGGCGTTCAGGGCAGAACTGGGTCCAGTTAAAGGAAACAAACAAGTTATTACGGCTCCTGATCTTGCAATTCTCATTGTACAAGGAATGAAGGTAATTATCATCATTAAGGGATTTCAGTTAGGGAAGTATCTCTATGCAGGTTCGTTAGTTTTCAGCGAAACGAAATCGCTGGCCGCGAGGAACGCCATTAAAGTGTTGAGTTAACGGTGTTTTCAAATTCTCGCCATGTTGCGTCCTTCCTAACGCCACAGCGTTACTCACCGGCCATTTATTGTGAGAATAAATCAGAAAATGGCATTGTTTGAATTTAATTTTGGCTGATCAGCGCTTATTTAGTAAGTAAAAAAGTCTGTTTTCGTCTACGTGGCTGCAATCTCCCAGTTATGCTGGTTCAGCCAGCTGCACCAGTAGCTTTACAGCGCTGTACTGTAAACGTATTGGTGCAGTTTGCTAATGCTAGCATTAGCGAATAATTCGAAATTCGAAGGCTGCCTTGCCGTGCAAAATCCAGAGGATATTAATTTACACTTCAACGTCACCGGTGATTAACAGTGTGGACGATCTAGAGTTATTGTGGAATGTAAATCACCAACGCCATACATTTTAATGCCTTTTGCGGTAGTACGTCAGTCTGTATCCCTTGTTTGCCTAGTATGTACGTATGGAACGAAATCGTCCTGAACTTTCGCAGTATCGAAAAATAAAATCAACAAGCCTTGTGGGTTTTCGACATCGCGGAAGTTCTGCTGTGAAAAAGAAGATCTCAGTCCAGTGCCAAAAGGGTTTCGCTATAAATATATTTTCGGATTTTACATAATAGTCATGTTCCTGCTAAAAGTCTTGCCATTTATCGTCCTCTGCATTCTGTCGCAATAACATTTAGACTGTCCGGCCCTTATTACACTGCTTTCACAGCAGGTACTTACGCAGGTGCACACTACGTAATACGTATTATCAGATTTAACTTTGGAAGTCTTCACGGTGTCTATGTAACTTTATGATGATCTTCCCTAAATCTAACGCGAAATGCGGCATCGATGGATAATTACTGCTGCCGATTGCACTAACGCTGCAGCAGTGTCGGAGACCGCTCACTCGAGGCGGTAGACACCTCTCGTGGCTTGCTCTGTCGCCCGCCCGCACATGGCAACGCCATTCGTGCCGCTATATTACGCTGCTCGCTCAGCGTATACTTTGTCTACGCTGACCAATCAGCGCATTTCTGCACTCTTGGGGTGGAATTTGGGGCGATTTCGCTTACGAGCGATCCCATGCTTTGCGGCATCAGCTGTTGCATACCTGCAGCACGCTGAATCATTATCACGATTCTTACGAGCTCGCTGGCAGCTACTTTCCACAGTGATACCGCACTGGTTTTTCTGTTTTTGTTTGTGGTTGCTTTATTGTTACCAATAAAGGCTATTTGCCACATTTTCCTCGCTCTGCTTCCGTGTCATATCTGACAGTAGCGTCTGCTGAGTAATCTGCTGCTTTTCTTGGGACATTTCTCATTGTAACTGTCAGCCTGTATAAAAGGTCTGCCGTAGTGTCACCTATTACTACAGCAATGCCACCTTTAGCCAATCAAGTAACCTTTTAAAGTCTTGGTTAGAAATCTCCTATCCAAAACTCTGCTCGCGCCTTTCGCTAGAATTCGAATTACTCGTTTGTGCAAAGTCTCACTTCTTCCGTGAACTGGCCAAACACGGTCACTAGTATACTGCAGTTTCTAGAAAAACAAAACAAGAAATTATCCCTCTGCCCGAAGTAGCAGCGTGAAACATGTTAATTCACTGTGTTTCAGTAGCAGCCAATTTTAACTAACAGATGGATAACTTCGAATTTCCACGTCCATGCCATCTTCTAAATTCACCATTTCTTAAAAGTAATTTATGGAAAGTCAAAATTCTTTGCTTAATGTTGGCTGAGCTTAACTTTTGTACGAGTATGGAGTATAACATTGCTCGTTCGGATAAAATCAATTTCGAAATGGCTATTCTCTCGGACACCATCTTTGACCACCATGTTTCGCTATTTTAGGGTGAGAATAGTCAAAACTATTTTTGGTGCAAGGTGTAGGGAATAACCGGATCCAATTATGAGTAATACTATGCCAATCAAACAATAAACGGAACCACCGTTCTTTGGCGCGCATTCCGCGAAATTACGTGCGCCCAGGCTTCCCGTGCAATTCCGGAAGTACCACTCCCAGTGCCGGCTGAACTGACTCCGGGGAAGGAAAGAACGAAATGGCTGCAGTAAGGCGCCACCGACATGCTAATTGTGTCGGCGCTCAAATATACTACCCGAGCGTGCTCTGTCGAGTAAAGATCACTCGCTGGTTACGATCTGGTTGTATGGTATCGTATTTCCCTGCTCCGAAGAGCTGCAACCGGAATTCCAGGTAACGCCAAATTTGTCTCAACGGAGTTCCAATGCCTGAGAGGTTTATCGTTGGGGGGCACTATTAACTTAGGGCGGAAGTGAAATACAAGCCCGCCGGGCGTTTGCACAGAACGCTGTAAGCGCGTACTAGATACAGGTAAATTACCGCCGCGCTGTTACGGCCAGGTGACTGACTGCGTTGCGGCCTCTGTTGATGCCGGCATTTGGAAAAAAGTTATTTGGTGGTTATTTGGTAAAAGTAATTGTGTAGTTAAGTGTTTATACGAGGCGCTAGTAACACACTGATAAACGGTTTAGACTTTGGATCACTCGCAAAATGTCGGATTTTGTTACGTTCGACATCAGCAGCCAGAGATGTGCGGCCAAACGGAGCAATTTAAGCAAACTTCCATATATATGTATGGACGAACTTCACAAGCAAACCGTGAAGAGTACTTTCTGCACTGCGACCCTGCGAACTTTTGTCATATCTTTACCTTAAAACATATGTGACGAAAAATGTACTGGTTCGGAATGTACTGCGCGAATGTTTGGATACTGCCACCAACAACTCCACGAAAAAGGCCTTGTGCCTTTACTCGTTCCTAGGACACCAACGTTGTGTCTGAAGTGACCGCTGTTTCCGTAATATCGTTTAAACTTTACATTCCCGAACGCTGCATTTCCACCAAAATGTAAAAGCAGTGCGGTGTCCTTTAACGCTAATCCGTGGCATCAACCACGATAAACATGTACCGGTTTAGGGATGAGCAGACCGAAGCGAAGCTTCTCGGTTTCGGGAAGGTGTACAGCGGCTATCAAACACCCATCAGCATCTGCCAGCTGTACTCTGCCAGCCGTACTCCCCGTTACTTTCGCCGCTTCAGGGTTTGCGTATTCGGCCAGCTGATTAAGCGACGGGAGTAGTCACAACATCGAGGTAGGCAGTCTGCCGGCGCCACACCTCCCGACTGGCATCCGGCCGCACCCAGCACTCGACGCGCGCCGACGTGTGCAGATCCACGCGGTAGACGACCAGCGTGCTGGTGAGCGTTGTCGCCGTGCTGCTGTAGAAGTAGACGCCAGAGTTGTACGACTTAGCCGTGGAGATGCCGGTCAAGGGGAAATAATGTACCTCCCCGGAGACGCCGGGACGGCCATCCACAGCGTTGGCCAGGATCCGCAGTGGATGCTCGTTACTGGCATAGATCACGTAGCCGTTAAAGCGCCAAATAAAGGCCGGTGTACTGGCCACTTCCCCGACGTTGGCAACGCAAGTGAGATGAGCGTCGGACCCGCGACGCACGCTGACGTTGGCCATGGGAACCGGGAAGAGCTCGCTGGCGGACGGGAAAACCCGCAGGCGGAAGTGCTGGTTATGGCCGGTACAGAGGGGCATGTTTGCGATCCAGGGTTCCAAGGGCGGACGGCACATCTGGGAACAGACAAGGTCACCGCTGTTCTTCCACGCGACGTTCTTGACGGTCAAGGTGACGGTGACGTCCGCGTAAGGAGCTGTCAACGATGGACGGGAATAAACGGAATGGAGGACATCCAATGCGCCGGAACTGGTGAAGCGGCCGCTGCCGAGAATGGCAGTAAAGTGTTCTTTCTGTGTCCAGAAAATGTCCGGGAGTTGCTGCGGAATGCTGTAGGTGACGTTGTGCACGGTGCAGGGGAGGGAAACGCTCGCACCGGAATCGACGTCGACCGTCTGGATTAGGCTGCGAGTGGCGCTCGGAGCTGGTGGTTCAAACACCAAATGTATCTTGTCGCTAGTTAGGTTGTGCGTCGCTTCCTGGACGATTCGCTCCACTGCAAGACAGAACACGCAGTCATTGACGCGATAGTGTCGGAATGTAGTTAAGGTTCAATGTAAATAAATGCACTGACGGGTTGCGATGGTATAGTTGCAGGTGGCGTTGCCACAGGCCTTCGTTACAGCAGGCGGACAGGCAGTCGAAAAGGAATAGATCAGGAAAACGATCACGTAGATTAAAAGCGGCACTACAGCAGTCTTAAGAAGAGAATTATGTTCATCCATCGAAGGCGCATCTTGCTGTCAGAAGAGGTCAACAGCGCTCCTGCGACATCAAAAATAATTAAATTGGAAAGCACTGACCGGAATGACGCGTTGAGCAAGCGATGGAGTTCTTGCAGTTTACCCTATGCATGTACACAGTATAGGAAAGCATGTTGAACTCCAGTGTAAAACCTGTCCGCAAAGGCCAGCTAAATACTTGGGCGACTCGAACACCGTCATGCTGTTACCGAACAGTATACGTTTATGTATTGCCATGCAACATCCAGATAATCAGCTTCGATGCCGGCTAGGAACAGTTCACGCAGTGTACTATTTTACACTGATCGCGAGCCGTTTATGAGAAAAACAGAGCGATCATCATTACGTCACAAGGAACAGGATCAAATAATACGAGAAACCTAAGAAAAGGTCATCGCAAACGCCGTACTCTGATACATAATTAAAAAGCGTTATCGAGCGGAATTAAAAAACCGATTAGGCAGCCGGAGTAGTTAAAACATGCAGATAGGCGATCTGCCGGCGCCACACCTCCTGGTCGGCCTCGGGCCGCACCCAGCACTCGACGCGCGCCGACGTGTTGAGATCCACGTGACTGACAGACAGTGTGCTGTTGACCGTCGTCGCCGTGCTCAGGTAGGTGACGCTGAACGTGAACGCTTTGGCCGTGGAGATGCCGCGCAGGGGAAAGCGTTCGGCCGACACGGAGCCCCCACGATGCGTGTCGAGAACGCGGACCAGGGCCTGCAGCGGGTGGTCGCCCGGAGCGGCGATGACGTAGCCGTTGAAGCGCCAAATAAACGCCGGCGTACTGCCGGCAACCCGGAGGTTGGCGGCGCAGGTGAACTGAGCGTCGGACCCGCGCCGCACGCTAACGTTGGACATGGGGACTGCAAAGAGCTCGCTGGCGGAGGGGAAGACCAGCAAACGGGAAAGCTGGTATGGGCTGCCGCAGAAGGGGACGTCTCCCGGCTTGACGGCAATCGGCAGCCTGACGGATGGAAGGAGGAAGGTGTTGCACGGCTGCAGGCAGGACAAGTCGCCGCTGGCCTGCCATGCGACGCTTTTCAGGGCCAAGGTCACGTTGACGTCGGCGAAGGGAGATCCCGGTACCGGGCGGGACCGGACGGAATGTTCGAGGTCGAAGGGGCCGTCGCTGATGAGGCGGCCGTTGCCGAGTACCGCCAAGTCACGCCCCTGGTGCGTCCAGCCGATGTACGGGAGTTGCAGCGGAGTGGTGAACGTCACGTTGTGCACCGGACAGGAAAAGGAAGCGCTGCCGCCGGAGTCGACGGAAATCACTTGGACCAGGCTGCGAACGGCGTTCGGGGCTGGCTGGTCGAAAACCAGTTGGATTTTCTCGCTGGCTGGGTTGTACGTGGCTTCCTGCACGATTCGCTCCACTATAAGACGAAAAGAATGGTATATGTTATGTATGAGAGATTAGCGCTTGAATGCCAGAACTGCACTAACGGGTGGCGATGCTGTAGTGGCACGTGGCGTTGCGGCAGGCCTTCGGTACGGCCGTCGGGCAGGCTGACGATGTGGAACTGGTCAAGGAAAGCATGACACATAAGCCAAGCGGCACGGTTGTTGCAAACTTCAGTCGGCAACGGTATCTTTCCATCGGAGCCACATCTCGTTGTCAGAAACTGTCAGCTAGTTTAAGCGACTGCGTAAAAGTTTATCCAGAAAGACACTAGTTGATGAAATGGTGAGCGATGTTTCCACTGCGCAGTGTATTGTAATTTTATACGCAGATAATCAAAAATTTGGTTACGGTAAAAATGCAACAAAAACCACTGTCATCGAAGCAAAGTACGTATTTACAACGAGTCCTTAGATACAGATACTGTACTCTGTCAATTCGATTGTATGTGATACTCGAGTTTCTGACTCAGTTGCCGTGCAACCTTTACGTAGAACCCGACAACTGTATGCTCAGCAACAATTGACTCGGTGCAACGATACAGTCACTTACTAGGCGGAACGCAGTATGTATTTAATAATTTACTTGGTAATTTCGATTAATAAGTCTCATTTTCAAAACAGATACAACAGTTGCGTGGTGCATTCCGCAAATCAGCATCTTAATAATGGCGGTAATTTTATTGCAAATTATTGCAGGATGTCATCAACGGTCATAGTGACCTTTTTCGGCAAGAAGATACAGATGGACCCACCCTGTTACTAAGAGAAATAACTGTGTAAACGCCTTGCATTAGAGCGAGTCGTTCAGGAAGCGATACACAATCCAGCCAGTGAAAAAATACACCTGGTGTTTCGCTACATTCACATCAGCACTTCCGCCTGCTGGTCTTCCCCTCCGCCAGCGAACTCTTCCCGGTCCCCATGGTTAGGTCTGCGTAAGTCTTCGGGTCAACTGCGTCGTCAACCTCCGGGATTCCGGCGATGTACAGGTTTTCTTTGGCGCTCAACGGCTACGTGAGCGCCGTCACCGGCAATGACCCGCTGCAGGCCTTTGTATCCGCTTTGGTGAACCGTCGGGACAACAGAACATTCCAACAGACAACGTGTCCCTGAGCGGCTTCTCCACGGCTAAACAGTTCACCTTTGGCGTCTTCTACAGCCGCACGGCGACAACGTTCACCTGCCCGCTGGTCATCTTCCGCGTTGATCTGCACATGTCGGCGCGAGTCGAGTGTTAGGTGCGGCAGGACGACAGCCAGGAGGTGTGGCGCCGGCAGACCGCCTATTTGAATGTTGTAGCCACTCCGGCCGCTTGTTTGGCTTGAATACGGCAAACTAGCTCTCAACTGTTCGAAAGGGCCCGTGCCGTGTGCGGCTGTTATGGGACGGTCACGTTGCGCGCGTGACGGTCTTCGGCCGGTCGGCCGAGAACGGCAGCGTCCACTTCTTTGCTGCTGCACCAACTGGCTCTGAACTCTCATGATACCTGTGAATGCATCAGTGACGATTTATTTGCGCATACTTGTTTTGGTAGTATTCGGCTGACACTGTGTTTAACTGCTTTTTGACTTTGACTTTACTTTTCTTTTGATACAACTGCAGTGTAAACCACTTTTGCGACGCAGAAACTTAGCGTTCATAAAAGGGCGCCGCATCGGCCGTTTATTTGCTGAAAATGAAAATTAAAGCTGCGTGCTCTTGCGAAGCGAACTTATCGGATTTCCAGAAACATTGGATATTTCAGATTAAATCTGCTTCGGTCAAAAACCGTCCGAGCATCGTAATGGACTGTTTCGGCTGTCTTGTTCTAGACTGGTAACTGTGTACCCTAAGTTTAACAAAATCATGTTCTTATTGTTGCCCATACAAAAACGTGCTGAAACCAACACATCACACAAAGCAATTCAGTTCTTCTAATAATAATATTATTTTCACAGTAATTCCTCTTTGTTGCGGCATCATGGTTATATAGCTAGTTTTGATGTTTCAAATAGCGCAATTTAACTGTAATTGTGTCCGCCCGACCGCGCTTATTGAGAACCGACGGAGGTACAGTACACAATTGCAATGAATGTCCTTGACGATGGAAATAATGGTACTCGACATGGCTTTTGTTTGTGCAATTACGTACAATACTGCCTTCATCAGGGTCCGGCTGAGATTTTCTAAAAAGCTCGATAGCTTCATTTATCCTTTTGCTGTTGAAACTCTGGTAGATTCGACCCTGCTTTAAGGGAACTGGCCCGGTACATGGTATCAAATCCGTGTGCACACATCACTCCCGCGCACTTCCAAACACTTTTTTGCTTTTATGACAATCTGTAGCCAGATAGTTTGCACATAGCCCTTAGGCGTAAAACTGTCTGTGCGCGCAACATCCGGTTCGTGAGGTATGGCGGTAAGAAATTTCAAAAGGTTAAATGCATTCAGGTGTACCAAAAGCCTCGTTTTCAACGGATCTTCTTTAAATTTTGCATGGAAACCGTTTTTACACCAAACCACGGCTCTAGAGTTTTTTCAAATTTAAAACGAATTTTTAAATTTCTGAAATTCATTTTAAACTTTGAAAAACAAAGTGCAAGTCTGCTTCGGTGTTGAACGATTTTGATACTTAGCTGCTTTTATGTGCAAAACTTAAAGAGGATTGGTCCATAATGAAACTTTTGGTACACTGGAATGCATATGCACTTTTGGAATTTTCTTGCAGCCATAACTCCCGAACACCAACAGAGCAGATCAAAAACAAATAAACAAGGAACGGTCATCAGGCATACTGCACGGATAAACTATTACTGCTACTAGCCGCGTTCCGCAAGCCAATTAGGCGGCCAGAGTGGTTACAACATCGAGGTAGACATTCTGCCGGCGCCACACCTCCTGGCTGGCGTCGGGCCGCACCCATCATTCGACGCGTGCCGACATATGCAGGTCGGCGCGCTAGATTACCAGCGTGCTGGACCAGTGCTGGTCACCGTCGTCGCCGCGCTCTGGTAGGAGACGTTAAAGGTGAACTCCTTGGCCGTGGAGATGCCGCGCAAGGGAAAGTGTGCGGCCGAAACGGCGCTCCCGCGATGGGTGTCTAGGACGCTGACCAGGGCCTGCAGCGGGTGGTCCCCGGGAGCGGCGATCACGTAGCCGTTGAAGCGCCAAATAAACGCCGGCGTACTGCCGGCAACCCGGAGGTTGGCGGCGCAGGTGAACTGAGCGTCGGACCCGCGCCGCACGCTGATGTTGGACATGGCGACTGCACAGAGCTCGCTGGCGGAGGGGAAGACCTGCAGGCGGGAATGCTGGTATTGGCTGCCGCAGAAGGGGATGTCGTTCGGCCTTACGGTAACGCGCAGTATGGCATGGCTGGTAGCAGGAAGGTGTTGCACGGCTGCATGCAGGACAAGTCGCCACTGGCCTGCCACGAGACGCTCTTCAGGGTCAAGGTCACGTTGATGTCGGCGAAGGCGGATGCCGGTGACGGGCGGGAGTGTACAGAGTGCTTGAGGTCCAAGGTACCGGCGCTGCTGATGTGGCCGTTGTTAACTGACGCCAGCACGCGGCTATTGTGTATCCAGACGATGTGCTGGAGTTGCAGCGGAGTGGTGTATGTCACGTTGTGCACAGGCCAGGTGAAGGAGGCACTGGCGCCGGAGGCACTCGACAGGAACCATTTGAACCAAGCTGCGAATGGCACCTGGGACTGGTTGCTCAAAAACCAGTTGGATTTTCTCGCTGGCTGGGTTGTACGTCGCTTCCTGCACGATTCGCTCCACTATAAGGCGAAAAGAATGGTATATGTTCTGTATGAGAGGTTAGCGCTTTAATTATGCCAAAAATTCACTAACGGGTGGCGATGCTGTAGTGGCAGGTAACGTTGCGGGAGGCCTTCGGTACGGCCGTCGGACAGGCTGACGATGAGGAACTGGTCAAGGAAAGCATGACACATAAGACAAACGGCACGGTTGTTGCACACTTCAGTCGGCAACGGTATCTTTCCATCGAAGCCACATCTCGTTGTCAGAAAAAGTCAGCAAGTTAAAGCGACTGTGAAAAAGGTTACCCAGAAAGAAACTGGCATTGCTGGGATACTGAGTGACGCTTCCGCTGCTCAGTGTGACTCATTACGCAGATATTCAAACACTTGCCTGTTGTGTTGTCAAAATAACACTGTGTCATCGAAGTAAAGTACAGTCTTCACAACTTATTACACGCGAGTGTATTTAAAACCCGAGTTTCGTAATCAGCTGCCGTGCAACCTTTGCTTAGACATCTAACAACTGTAAGCTTAGTAACAGTTGACTGACTTAGTAACGATACAGTTGGGTACTAAGCGGAGTAGTACTGTACTCTGTTTGTATAAAGGGAATTATAGGGACTGAGGCAAGCACTCTCTGTTCTTGCTGCCGACACCCGGCTGGTGTTTCACGTTGCGGCTGAACGCGGTATTATGTACAGCGCAGTATTTAAGAACCACATGCCAAGCACAGGTACATGTTTACTTTCAAGTACGTGCTTGATTAACTTTATTATAAAATTCATCGTCTATACTTTCCCTTTTAAGTTTTCACCGGTTCTTAAAAAAATTAGCAAACCCTGCGACTCATTCAGATTTCTCATTCCAATGTGCCATTAAAGGAGAATAATCCCCATTAATCAACAGTAATATTATGACGGTTGCATCAGCAACTAACAGCGTGCACAGATCATAGAAAATAAAAAACTACATAGGACACGGTTAGCAAGAGCACCAGCAATAAAACTGCCGCTTCCACATAATTTGTGCGCATTATGCAGCACTGGCAGCCTTAATGTTGGCGCTTCTGAATTTATCAGACGTCTCGGGATGTCGATCATCTGCATCCGTTGTCGGCAATCTCCAAGAGCCGATCAAGCTGACCATTTATGATATAATTCAATATAGAATTTATATCCGTATCACGATGGTTATATGCTGTAGAACTCTCTGGTGGCAAACGCGATAAAGCTGGTGGCAAACAACACAACAGCTCTGTGCTACTTGTACAACAGAATGCAGCAGAGACAGTAATGCAACAAAGTTTTCGTCCCGGGTATCAATTTTGTGCGGTTGTTAGAAACTAAACAGCAGCCAAGATGGCGATCATTTTGACCACTCTAGTCCCTAACAACCACAATATCAATGTCGTGACTGCGCTCGAATTTGCAGTAGTAAATGTTCGGCGCAGTACCCACAAAATTAAAATCACAACGCTATTCGTTATTATGATCAACAGTAAATCACAAATATTACACAAGGGATGCAATCATTTCTCGATCTGGAATACAGTGCGTACCACAATAGAACAGAATGATGCAAAATTCGGTATCTGCTCAAATCAAGCGCGGTGTATTCTAAGCGAGCCTAAAGCGCAATAATTAACTGCATCTTCCTGCTATTCCCGCGTGACAGTATTGCTAAAGCAGTATCTTAATTACGGGTTCGGTGGCGGCCTTCGTGTTAATTTCCGGCGCCCGCTCTTGTGCCAAGAATATATCGGAGAAGGCAGACGGAAGCGTTGCTAAAAGGGCAAATTCTATTACAGATGTTACGATTACATGTACGGTACATATCTCTCTGCCGACCAGCAATACTCATCGAAATCGGCCGCAAGGCTGGTGCAAACTCGGCCATCGTCTTGACCTTTACCAGTCCGTTTCTCTGCCCTGTGCGTGAACTTCCCCACCAGCGAATCTACCGAAATTAATTGTACCGTAGCGTCAATGGCAGGAAACAGTATGCGGACTGCTTGAAGACACCCGTCTCTTTTCTGGTCAAACATGGCGCTGTACATGTTGATCTTGTATCGGCGACGCGGCACTCATCCCACTTTTTCCGTAGTTCTCGTCGAGTAGTTAAGCGCTAATCCATAATACTGCGGGTCTATCTCTATCATGCACGACTCTCAACAGCGAAAGGTCGGCGATGACATCATCCTAATTATGACATTAACCCCAAAACAAATTCAGAAACTGGAGATGCATGTCATTGTCCAGAGCGGATCACCGGGCACCTTGTTTACGCGCCATCAGCCAGAAAAATATTAATTATTGTTTACCGGATTAAAAGGATCATGATTCTTAATCAATGCTCTTGTCCATCGGAGTAATTAGGATTTCGGGGCATTGATAATACATTAGCTGGCATCGCGCAGTGCGCGATGCCAGCTAATATGAAGCTGTGCTCTGTACTGTTGTTTAGCACTTGCCGTTGAGCAAGCGCTTCTAGAGATCAAAATGGAATTTATATCAGACATTTGCGTCTGCTTATAATGCGGAATTAAGCAACAGCCATGGTGAACTTTGTGCCGATATATGTCATCGTTGTTATAGGTATGGCTTGCGCACATGACAGTTTGACGTGTGTCTCCACCGCCAGGTTCCATAACGCCTCACTGAATATCAAGCTGATACACAATGGTCAGACAATTCAGCTGGCCAATGTGTCGCTTGCCGAGCTTTTTGCTGCCCAAACGCCGGACGGAGTCCTCCAGTTAGTAGAGGAATGCTGTGCATGTCCTGCCAAGCAGGGGAATTCACCACCTACACCATCACGGTTTTCTTATGGGAAACTGGCCATCATTACATCGGCAGTGTTAATGGTAATCGCCTTACTATTAAGCGCGCGGTTTATTTGGACTCGCGTTATCTAGCGCGATAACAACTCACTGGATTGATGAAAATTACTGTGGCTTTGAAGGTTAGTGGCAGTATTTGTAACCAATAAGTACTTTTTTTAATGCAGTACAACAGGAAAAACTTGTGCACCGAAAACTTCCTATCAGCCAGCAATGATCTAAAAAAGTAATTTCTTTTGCAGAGACGATGCTGTACCAGATTCGCATCGGCCGCTTTGTGCAGAGCGAATCTACCGCACCGCCGCATCATTCTCCGTGCGTGATCACCTCGGGTTCCTCCGACCATCATCGCCGTAAACAATTCCCCTTTCCTTTCTCAGTGTCACTTATGTCATGTATCGTAATTTCGGCTGTCATTGCGGTGTCATTCGCACTTCGCACGAATGTATTGTGACGATATCGGTAGTTAATTTGCCTTTTGGTACCACCTGCATGTAATAAGATTGTTCATTGCCCTTCAGCATCAGCTATGAATTAGTTATTATGAGTACAGTATGATTGTCTTCTTCGTAAAAGCTGTAGAGCGTGTTGACCTTGTATGTTAGCGCACTGTAGAATCCTGCTGCTGTACAGTAGACTTTTACTTTTTCCCTTTAGATTCATTCTTATGTTTCAATTGTTCCCAGCAAGTTCCCAGCTCTTGCTACCGCGCCTCTTGTCCTTATTACTTGTAACAAGAATCTTGCCATACTGTATCTTGCCGTTCGTCATTACATACGTGGGGCGAATTGTCTCCGTATTTCATAATCTGAATAATTGTCATGTCATTTCCGGACTTCCGGTCAGCATCTTGTTGGTTGAGATAGCCGTTAGATCGTGTTACGGTGGATTAACCAGTCTACGAGACAGCAGTCAAAGCTGCTGCTGTTGCAGTATTGTGGAAGAGGTAATGGCAGCATTAAATACGGGGTTAGTCGGGTCCAGAAGAATACACTGGAGAGTCGGAGACTGAATGTGAGCGCGCCGACTACAGTACTAGTACCGGCACTCTACATAACGTGCAGGCAATATGTACCATGTGAACTGGCTGTACTCGTGCTGGGCAGACGTCTCGGGTTGTTGATTGTTTTGCGAGCAAAGGCAACTAAAGTTATTCACTCATCCAGCGCTCCTACACCGCCGACGAGCCGATCCCCATCGAGCTATTCGGCGGCATTGCCAAGCCACCATTTTGAATCCCGAACAAGGAAAACTGCGTTTTACTGGCTCATCCCATCATTGATTTGGTTTGATAGTGAGGAATTAATCAGCAGTTACGATGATGATCATTTTGACAACCTATAATTACCCAACACCTACGCCGATAAGTATGATCCGTCAACGGCCAGCTTCGCCATTCCGTTCGGCAGTCGGCGTGCACGCCAGACTGCCGAACGGAATGGAATCCCGGTGGGATTGTGGATTTGTAATTCAGCAGTTTTTCGGTACGTATATTTTACCTTTCCACTTTTCAATAACGTGTGCGCTGTGTAGCCGCACTAACAACAATTAAGAACGCGTACAGCACAGTAGACGATCCGAAATGCGAGCACCATTACTGAGTGCGAGAATAGGCCATGCTCCTTCTGTTGCCCGCAGTAACTAACATGGCGCATATCAACGAAATTTGTGGCCGTGCGACACATCCGGACGGCATCACGTCCGCTTCTATGTGGGGAAATATAGGGGGAATTTAACTGCGGAGGCCAGTACTCCCTGTACTTGCTGCCGTCACCCGCCTGGAGTGTGACGTTACGGCAGTACATACGCTTAAATCAGGCGCGATACATAGGCACCATGTTAAGCCACAACGTAAAACTCCAGCCGGCTGACGGCAGCAAGTACAGCGAGTGCTTGAATTCCCCCTATACTTCCCCTGGAATTTCTGATAATTGATCGAGTGATACGTTCTGTCGTTGCTAACTCGAAGAGGAATCCCCTCCGGTACGTGCCCGAGCCCAGCTAAGATAACGGAAGTGTCTTCCGGGACACCGAGTCGGTCGGCGCAAAGAGAGGCTGTGGATGCGGACATTGCGGAGACGGCGACGACAAAATGTCATGTCATGATTATTTGCTTATTGCAAGATGATCGTTGGCCATGGAAGAGCGTATTACAGTGTCGGGTCATTGTGAACTGCACTCTGCCCATCAGTGATCAATCCCCCACACGGTATGGTATCCAGCGTTACACTAGCAGTGTTCGTCATTCTTGTTACCGGCAGTTTCTTGGGAGAGACAAAGTCAGTTATGGCTAGAACTTTCTGAATGCAGAACAGTTTATGCGTACCTACGTTTCGTTTATGTATACTTCATGCGTGAAGAATGCTGCTCCATCCGTGGCTTCGTTGTTTTCAGAGAAAACAATTCAAGTAATAAAAAAGTATTAAAAAGTGTGCTCTGCGTGAATTGAGAAAACTTTTCTCAGCCCCATGCATAGTACACGTGTTATTACTGGCACTAATGCCTCCACACCCTCTTTGACGAGCAGTTTGGATTGTGGACATTGTTTTTGCCTTTTTTAACTCTGCAGTCGAGGAATCACTTCTGCCGCTACTGCACCTCCCAAGGCACCGTTCAGGGACAGTGTTGACAATGACGATCACAGACGGTGTGGCATTGCGTGATGCATAAATATATATGCTGGCTTTATCATATAGGCCTAGGGTAGTAATGCGTCTGGAATCGCCACACAAGCACTGTGAAAGATTCTGATTGAGTGAGCGATAAACACGTCACTTGAAAATGCTTGCCAGGTCTCTCGACCTTTTTGGGGCAGTTTTCATCTGCTGGAGCTATACTCGTATAGGCGTTGGCGCCTGTGACTAGGGAACCGACCAGGCGACCACTACCTCTTTCGACAATGTAAACGAACTGTTGGTTTCAGTATGGGCGAAATGTAAAATATGCGTAGGGAGAACTGTACCATGATTGCATACTTTCAGTTTATAGGTTGATGTTGCACGACACGTATTTCTTGTTGCACGTAATACTGTACTTGGCTTTAATGGCAGATGTTTATTGATATTGTGCAAAAAAATAAAAATTTTGGGCAAGTTCCTTTTCTTCACCGACCACAATATCTCCTTTTCTTTACAGTTTTCATATCCATAATAATTAAGTACTATCTTCTGGAATTCTTCAAATTTCTTGACGGTGTCGCTGTAGCTGCATGTTAATATTTGCTGCTGTTATAATATTATACCATCAGGAAATATCAACATACACCTTGCGAGACACAGCTTTGATGGATGGACCCTGTTGCCGACCTGGGTATGTTACAGTCGTGTTGCTTATGGCTTATGTCCTGCTTTCCGTCGGCTTTTCCTCATCGGCGGCTGCAGACGGCAGACATATCAATCTGTTGACTGTCGATTGCAGATAAACTGCTGGTTCCCGTCAGGAATGCAACCACACCACTCGCATTGTATAATACACTAGCCTACGGGGCTGTAATTAACTTCGCCGTCTTCCCTGTTATTCCCGTGTGGCAACGCCGCCATAGCACTATTAAAATCGGGGGCAATCTTCGTACTAATAAAACGTCTGCTCTGCACCAAGCAGGAATCGGAGCAGGTAACCGGAAGTGCCTTCGGAAAGATAACTGCACACAGGTGATGCTGTTAGCAGCTATTGCCGGCAAACAGCGCGACAGATGCCGGCACGCATCAGATCAGGGTTCTTCCTTGACAGCGCTACATTATTACCTGCTGAGCGAGCGTGTATTACTCTACGGCTTTTCCTGAAAATTTCACAAGCTCTTGGCGATGTCAGGCACGCATGGATTTGCCCTGGAAAACAAATAATCCGGAAGACTGGAACGCTGTATTTTGGTACCGGGTGTCCAGATCGCAAATCGGCGACAGCGTTGAAAGTGCTAGTGCCACGCCGCTGGGCGCTGGCAGCCAGTGCAGGCAGTGCTGCTCTTTTCCGGAGAATATAGATTTTTCTCATGGTTGCTGAAACGTTGGCAGTCCCGAGAATCTCTTTATTTGTATAGACTTGAGGAGCATAAAACTCGCCTCTACATAGAAAATGGTTATACTGCATACAGCGTGGTAGCGCCAAGTTAAAGACAGCGCAATTAAAACTGATCTGATTATTTCCCTGTAGTCTGCTGTCATACTGCCACTTGCAAAGTTGCAGCGAATTTCATTTCCAGTGCAATAAAATTTAGCTTTCGTTGAAATGTTGAGAAATGCCTCGAGAAACTAATTCTGAAAGTAAGGCTGTAGTGGTTTCTCTACAGTACATGCCAGTGGATTGTCTATTCGGAAAATTGTGGAAAAATTATCTGAGCTTGGGAGACCGCTCAGTAAGAGTACAGTTGAACGGATTATAAAGAAACATCAGTTGGTGTTGAGTGGAAGCCCACCGGAGACGCGTAAATTGCCTGCGCAGAACAAGCCTACAGTATGCATTCCGAAGATCATCCGCAAAGTGGAAAAATTAATAGATTCTCCGAATCCCCCGTCTATTCGAGAGATCGCCCGACGTTTACGAATCTCTCATGTATCCGTGAAAAAAATTTTGGTGAAGAATCTGGAAGCGAAGTTGACGAAAAATAAGAAGGTCCACGCGCTATCGGCGACCCAAGCTGTACAACGGGCCCATCGCGCCAAGACGTTTTTGAGGTATTTATCGCGACGAAAACTGAAATTTCTTTTAACAATGGACGAGATGTGGATTACTACTGATGATTTATCCGGGCAGACAGACTTCTACTACAAGCGCAAAAATGTTGTCGTTCCTGAAAGTTGGCAAAAGCTGCCACGCAAAAACTGGCCCAAAAAAGTGATGCTCGCGATGGGGATCTCTTGGCGCGGTCAAACCGCAATGTACGTCGTTCCCCCTGAGACCAAAGTTGATCACAAGGTATTTATCGACCTCGTCCTGAAGCCAATGATCCGAAAAGACGTACCGCGGCTACACGGATCGGACGCCAAGAAAGTTGTCCTGCACATGGACAGTGCCCCTTCCCATGTGGCCAAAGAAACTGTCCAGTGGCTGAAAGCAGAGAAAGTGAAGTACATTCCGAAAGAAGAATGGCTGGCGAATTCCCCAGATGCTGCGCCGATGGACTACGCGGTCAACTCGATTTTTAAGCGAATTTTGAAGTGCTGCGACGCGCGCGATCACAGGCAACTGGCACGTGTCGCGCGCCGCAAGTGGAAGACCTTTTCAATTGTTAAAATTCGAAATGCACTCAGATCGTGGAAATCCCGTATTCGTTGTGTAATCAAAGCTAACGGCTATCAGTACGAGCATATTTGGAAACAAAATTGTAATTAGCTAAATTACAATAAAATAAAAATTAAGTGTCTTCAACTTGGCGCTACCACGCTGTATGTATTTCAAAGCAAAACGTACTACTAAACTTGAAAACATGTTACCATCCGAAAAAGGAGTTGAGTGATTTATTCAAGCAGCTCCTTAGAGGGAACGGGAACATTCCTTAGAGACGACGATGTCCGAATCGGTGTCGCACTGCGGTTTGGATTGCCAGTGATAGTGGCGCACAACTGTACTGCATGCGGTAAGCAAGTGGAAACTAACGGACACCATGGGTTATCCTGCAATAAGTCAACCAAAGGACGATGGGCGCGGCACCCAGAAATGAGCAGTATTACTGAGAATTGTTGTGAAAGCGCCAGTTTCCTTGTCAACTACAACCGACCGGCTTATCGAGCAAGGACGGAAAAAGACCCCACGGGATGATGCTGATTCCAGTCCGCCAAGGGAAACCACTGGTGTGGGATGTAACCAGATGGTGCACGGTCGCAGACTCTCATGTCACCGGCAGCTCGAAGAAAGCTGGATACGTACGTGGCTCAGCTCGCAGAAAATGCCAAGCGCCGGGCATATTCGTTTGTGGAAAATGGAAACTTTTTTTATCCCTTAGTGATAGAGACGTTGGGAGTATTTGGCCCCGCTTTCAGTGAACTGTTGCATTTCATGGGCCGTAAAATTCGAGACTTAACTGGATAAGCGCGTTCTACTGGTTACATTAAGGAGCGTTTTAGTCTCCCCGTTGTAAAAGAAATGCTGCGGCTGTTTTGAGCACGTTACCTTTTAACCCAAGAGAAGATAGAGATTTGGGTTGTTCTTTTAATGTTTAAATTTCAAATATTAAGTAGTGTACCGGCGCTTGCAGTCTTTGTTATCGTGGTGGTTATTGCCTAATAAATATTTCATCAAGCAGCTTGATTGTCAGTAGCATTTTATATAATTCTGGACGCAAAACATTTGCACCAAGAACTAAGCTAAAATAATTCCGCAAACCAGTCGTATCCGTATGTTCCTGGCACAAGCAGAAATCAAGTAGCACATAATGACTGCAGTAACGATACGCAGCGCCTCTTTATACCGCTGAACATCCGAATCGCAACCTGTTACAAGGAGATGACTAACACAAGGAAAACCGGGAGATGACCAACAGGTCCAACACATATTAACATGTCACCGATAAAAGATCAACGTCCAGATACGATCAGCAGTAGTGCAATGAGAGACGTCAGATGAAACGACGCTGCACAGATGTCAGCGGCCCGTTATGCAGATTAAGCCGCCGGAATAGTTGAAACATGGAGGAACGCGGTCTGCCGGCGCCACACCTCCTGAATCTCATCGGGCCGCACCCAGCACTCCACGCGTGCCGACGTGTGGAAGTCCACGCTACTGATGGACAACGTGCTGGTGACCGTCGTCACCGTGTAGCTGTAGGAGACGCCAAAGTTGAACTCCTTCGCGTTGGAGATGCCGGCCAGAGGGAAGTGTTGCGTCGGCGCGAATTTCCCGAGACGGGTCACCAGAATTCGGACCAAAGCTTGCATGGGATGACCCGCGGGAGCGGCGATCAGGTGGCCGTTGAAACGCCAAATAAACGCCGGGCTGTTTCCCTCCAGACGGTTGGCGACGCAGGCGATCTGGGCGTCCGATTTCCGACGGACGCTGACGTTGGACATGGGAACCGGGAAGAGTTCGCTGGCGGAGGGGAAGACCTGCAAGCGGAAGTACTGGTGATCGCCCGCGCAGAAGGTCACGCCATTTGCAGTCCCGGTGACGATGGGGAGGGGTGTAGGCTTCACCGGCGGGGGCAGGTAGCAGGGCTGGGAACACACCACGTCGCCGTTGTCTTTCCACGCGACGTTCTTCAGGGTCAGCGTCATGGTAGCAACGGCGAGGTCGGACGTCGGTGATGGGAGGGACCATGCACCAACGTAGAGGTCGAAGATGCCGGCGTTGCCGAGGCGATAGCCGCTAATGAAGGCTATGGAGCGTTTGTTATGCGTCCAGTAGATGTCCGGGTAGTGCTGCGGATAGCTGAAGGTCGTGTTGTGCACGGCGCACGGAAGCTGGCGCTGCCGCCGGAGTCGGCGCGTATCACTATGATCATTTTACGTTTGGCGCTCGGTGCCGGACGCTCAAACACGAGATGAATCTTGTCACTGGACGAATTGCGCGTCGCTTCCTGGATTATTCGTTCCACTGCAAGATAAACAGGCTATGATCTACGTAAATAATGATCGTAATGATGAAAGAGGCTAAAGCTGTAAACTGACGGGTGGCGATGCTGTATCGGCAGGTGGCACTGCGGCAGGCCTTCTTAACAGCATCTGGTAAGCAGGCGGAAGATGAGGAACAGTCCAAAAAATACATGGTGTAAATTAAAAGCGACACGGTTGCGGCACACTTGGACCGACAAGAGTCCTTATCCATCTCAGCCGCATCTCGTTGTCAGAAAAGGTCAGGTTTCAGCGACACAAAATACTGGCATACAAGGATGCTGCGGGACAGTATAATATATGATATACATCGCACAGTCACGGAAATGGATGGATGTGTCAAACTGAAAATGCCGAACAAGAGCAAGCGGCTGATTGCAAGATCAGGTTTGGTGACAGCGATTGTCAGCGAAACACTTATCAGTCTACCGAAAACCGAGGGCACGGAGCACGTCAGTTATTTAACAGCGTATTTAATCATTAGCTGTACAGGATGCAGCCTCATGCCGGGTTAATGTATGCGGCGCAGTTGCTTAGCAAAACCTCTACAGTCTACACACTCGGCTACGTTCGGTACTGCAATTTCAAGCGCACGGTTTGCTCAGTTGTTTGCCTTGCATGCTTGTTTTATCATGCGCTTAACTGCAATTCTCACAGCACGTTTAGAACACCACATCGGGACTGCAAACAAGGCAAGGTGCTGGTTACGAGCACTCAACGCGACAGTTGTACATTCTGTTTCCTGCTGGGAATTCTGGTCAACCTGTCCAGAGTTGCCTCTGTGGCACCAAAGTAGCGGCTATCACTGCGAACGGATGATTGGTCCGCTCCTGGACGTCACTGCGACCAACGCGTTGTTTTGATGGCCCGAAAGGGTGGACGCCGATTCTGTTTGTGATAGCACCCATCTGTGCATTTCCGTTTTTGGCTTGCCCAGTACACAGATCTGGCAGAGTGCGTGAAACGCAGACCCAGGTCTGCGCAGATCGGCATTGGGAGTGTGCTTTCGCGCAAAAGTGAGCATCTGGCATTCTTATATAACTGCTTAAAAAATGACCGGGTATATGCTACTGTGAAGCGGGAAGCGGCTCACGTACAGCGACAAAATCTTTCAAAGGATTTCAACGTATTGCGCCGTGGTGCAGTGGTACTGCCTACGCGGATCTAACGACGTAGCCGGGGTTCGATGCCCCCATCGGCGCCTTTTCCAGCCGTTTCTCGTTTTCCCTCCAATTGCGCCCTGCTTAGACTACCAATTTCATCCACATCCATCAGAATCCACCACCCACACACCACCAGTGACCAACCAGTGAAACTTTCGCAGACACTTATGATCCCTCTGACATTAAGATGCTGGGTAGGGTGTTAATATGGAGTGGAACATAGTTCAGTGAACCGTCGCGCCACCACACTGGTCCTGCTCAATGTACAGGCCTTCGACGCAAGTGCACGCATCGAGGGCTCGGGGCGGCCAGAAAAAAACGCGCGTGGTGTGGCTCAAGGAGGCGGACTACGAGTGCTTTTTTGTGACCGCCGTTCTCTGGCGACTGCGATGTACTGCCGGCGTTCACGCTGCTTCGCTAAATGGCTGTGACAGTAACTGTACATATGACTGTCTAAACCTATGTGCTTAGATTTCATTTCCAGTGCAATGATTTTCGAAGAACATGGGCCCAGGCAAATAATGTATTCGTACTGGCTGGTGCAGTCGCATAAACAGATACAGTAGTTGAGTGTAGAATACACGAACATGACTTCGGTTCTTTCCCAGCCGCACTTTTCCCCTTTCTTTGATTGAATGGGCGCCGCCAGTGGAGGGCTATTCGATGGAACCCACTCAACCCATTATTATTACTATTGTATAATTAAAATCGGGATGCACCGACTGCAAATTCACGCACTCCCTCCAGTCCCAGTTGTACCGCTAGCAAGTCCGACCGCTGCTTTCCCCGTCCGGGCATCGCGCAAGTTGTTTTAAGCACTGTATAGCATGTATGAGGTTTGCGGAGCTGACGGTCACGCGCAGTCGGCTACCTAATACAGTAATACGTACAAAAATAAGCAAAAGTCTCGTTTCTGACGATTTTAGTGGAAATTTTGAAAACTTAGTGGCGGAAAGACATACGTACACAGGTGCAAAAATAGACTTTTGTATGGTACTTAGTTAACGGCTCAGTGCTGTAAATGTTACAGTAAACTCGGTGAGATTGAACAACCGCGAAAATTGAACAACTGCGAAAATTGAACGCCCGTGTAGGAACCGGCGCGTCTCGTATACTGCAAAAGCTACTGCGAACATTGAACAGATGGTTACATTGAACGCTATTGAAGGAACCGGAGGTGTTCAGATTACCCAGGTTTTACTGCAATATTATTGTGCAGCAATGCGCCTGTGTTAACATTGCTTTGATCTGTTGTAACATCACTTCTCTTTTGATTTCTGACAAAACTTTGCTTGCATAATTATTCTCTTTCTTGACTGTCGCTAATTGCTGGTGGTACGAAAAATGTGTTAATCTCAGCAAGGTTCATCAGTTTTTTCTACGCAATAGAAGTTACAAAACCCATTAACGCATGCGAATCCGTAAAGAGAATGAGCTGATCAAGCCCTTCTACAGAGGATTCTTGAGCTAAGCACGTCCAACGTGCTAAAAGCTTTTTTTTGTTTAGCAGTTGCATCGAACTTAATTGGATGTATTTTTCCATTTGGATTGATTTACTTCAAAATGTTTTGGTAGTTTTGAAAAAATCAAGCAGTTAAGTACCGGCAAAATTGGATGCCGATTTACGGCAATTATGTTGATTCTTACCCAGGCGAAATGAAGTTCGCGTAAAACTGCCGATAAGCTTGCCTATCAGATGTGTGACAACGGTATGTACATATACGCACATATAAATAGATTTTCTATGTGTGTATATGCGTGTACGTATGTAGATGTATGCACAATACACATTTGCACGGTATGGATGTGAGATGATTTTTTTAAGAACTGAGGGCGCTTGGCTGCATAAAGCTTACCGTATCGGCATCCACCACCGGCGACTCAGTCGTTCGCTGCAGAAAGGTTATTTCGTTGTCGACGAAGGACAGCCAGCGCAAACGATGCCTTTCCTCCAACGCGTAGCGGAACCAGCGCCTTCGGTGCGGCCAAGGATGCGCCCAATACTCAGCGGACGCCGTGCACGTTCTGTGGACAAAGTGACCCGGCTTCAGAACTCGGCGCTGGAGTTCCTCCTCCGACGGCGGCACGCGGATCTGCGAGCGAGGCAGGATCTCGCGGATACGTTGCCCGGCTAGTAGCACTTCTACCAACGCGTAATGGCGAGCCTCCGTGTTATTCTCCGCGTGTGGCTCGAACCCGGCTATCAAAAGCTTCCCGGGAAACCACGCCCATGGACCACCGGGATGTGTGCGTAGAAGCAGTTGCACATCGGCGGGATCGCTGCAGAACTGGTTCTTTGCTGTGAGTAGCTGGTTCGTCCACTGCTCTTCAGCTCCCCGTTGGTCCGAGCACGCGAAAACCGTCCCCCATTCGACCAACACCGCGTTCTGCGCCGGGCATGCAAAATCCACGATCAGACGTGGTGCAGCGTCCGCAGTGTCTTCCAGGCCGATGACGTGACCGTGCTGCAGCAGACCGTTCATTGGCACGTCCACCGCATTCCACGCGTAGACACGCCGTGTTGGCGATTGGTGCCATCTTTTTTCTACTTCGTAGAAATGCATTGGTAGCGTAACAGGTAAGAGATGTATAAAGCTAGGACGGGTGTAAAGCAACAGATTTTGCTTGGCCTGGGAGCTCCTGTGAATAAAGCAAAAGATTTTTTTCTGGAATTGGTCAGAGCGCCGTCGCTAGACTTAATCGCTGCCACCGATGTTTAGCATGCCGCCTTCTGGAGCGCACCGTTTGCTACCAATGATATTTTGCAAACCTCAGCTGCTAAGGAATTTAAACTGCCGTTGGATGTTGAGCATTGGTAATCGGCAAACGTGCGCCAGGATTTTCGCGGTTGTACACGGGTTCCGCATCCCGGAATCCGACTGTCTGCTAAATCGCCAGCCGAGGTACAAGCTTGTCCGGTAATTTCTTACGAATCAATACAGCGAAATACACAAATTTACGACGTAGTGTAATGGCAATTGCCATAGGACAAACTCAGCGCTAAATATGTGCTGTTTGTACCTTTACGTAGGAAATTACCGGACAAGCTTGTACATGTATCTGTATGTATTATGGCAGTGCAGTTTAATTCACCACATGCAGATACAGTATAAAGCACGACGAACTAGAACAACTCGCTATCTTGCATCGCTGTCTTTCTTCTGTTGTTAGCATCACACTGACAGATAATGGTGAGGAACGGAAAATCCGTCCACTAATTGCTCAGTGAGTCCGTGGAAGTGATAATGTGCTAATAGTAATGATAAGGGAAAGTCGAGAAAGCTCGGTACACAGCGTGCGCTGGTGCGGTGCAGCAGCCGTACCGCAGCGAGATAGGGTTCGAATTAGACTCGCTGACTCATTTCGCATTCTTCGTTATTTATTCATTTTACGTATTTGCGCTCTAGTCCTAGGCCGAAAAAAAAGCTTTTTGCACTGTAAAAGTAGGATAACTGACAAACGATAACGTAGTTTATTTCTAAAGCCTTCCTATATTACATTATATCATCAAGCAGGCAGCAAGAGTGGCGGTCAGATGATGAGAAGAGCTTTCACAGCCGCGGTAGGACATGCAAGTACGCCGCCTGCCTTAGCCAGACTTCCCGCTGGTGATCTGGCTGCACCCAGCACTCCACCCGCGCCGGTGTCGGCGTCTGCAGCTGGACACGGGGAATGACGAGCGTGCTGGAGAAATGGCCGCCATCGGTGCCGTTGTTAAAGACGCTGTATTCCGCCAGCGTCTCCCCGGGCATCCGGTGGACGTCCCGCAGCGGCGGTGGGACATGCGGAGGCGTGGTTACAGGCCCCACGAAGGGCTCCAGCGCGTGAGCCTGGGGAGCCGCCAGCCACTGCGCGTTAAAGCGCCAAATAAAGCCCATGCGAATATGGAACCAGTTGGTGGGAGCAACCAAGCTGGTGTTGCAGCGGAAACGCGCCTCCTCGAAGGGGGCCACCGTGACGTTGTGCATCAGGGGCGCTACGAAGAGCTCGTTAGCGGTGGGCACGACATGGAAGCGGAAGTACTGCAGCGAGCAGAAATCAAATTCGGGGTTGGCTTCACATTCCTGCATGCAGGCCACCAGGCCGCGTGACGCCCAGGTGACTTTGCGGATCGTAAGCGTGGAGGAGGCGGCCGTCCAGTCTACCGTTTGGGAGATGTCGGCGGATGCCGTGTAATTGTAACGCAGCCCGTCGCTGTTGAGTGCCGCCAGCGTTTTACGGTTGAGCGCCCATAAGACGGTTGTGTGGTTAGCGTTGCTCCCGTTAGCGTTGGGGAGGATCCGCAAGGGACTGCAGTGGAAGGTCGCCGCACCGCCGGAACTGGCACGGACCACCGGGTACTTCTCCAGGGTGACGAGGGAGCGCAGCGAGGCGGGAATGGGCACATGAATTCGACCGTCGATCGGCTGCCGAGCCGCCTCGCTCATCGCCGCGTCCACTAAAGGTCATCGTTGTCTTATGCTAAAGCGGATGAATTTGTCTAAGCGGTTCACCAGTTCAAGTTAAAATGCTTTAAGAGCATCGTTTTAATACGAATCATGTCCCGTTATATTTCGTATTAGGAATAATCAGAAAACCGCATTTGAGTGATTCTATGCTCGAATGGAAAACTTGCTGCATTCGATCGATCGCTCTGCTCGAATGACTCACAGTGCAAAAACGTGGGGTCGCAGCTCTGATAACGGCATTCATTGTGCACTGAGCACGCCAGACCATAACGATAATTAGTCCACATCCAGATCATTGCTGCCATGTATAAGTTACCCGTAAATTTTGATCTTCCCGTAAAACACTTGGCGATTGCAGTTTGATTGGCTCCTTGCATTGTGTCTAACCTAAAAACTTCGTAGATGCATTTACAGTATTTATAGAAGAAAGATATTATTATAACGCACAAAAAATTTAATGCGGATGTAGCATGAACCGGTGCGTAGCAACGGGTCGACAGACGGTACCCATCAACTGCAATCCAGTCGAACTGCCAGGGACGGTTCTTCTGTTAGATTTGTATGCGTCAAGTGACAGAATTACTAACAGGGAATCCAAATATAAATTATGAGCGGATTATTTTTCACTCCCGGCCACCTGGCTGCTTCCTCTCCTCGACATTCGTGCGAAAACATGTCACGCCAGCGTAGTCAGACATTTTGGCGGGGTTGGTGAGGTCGTTATAGAAATCCTGATTCTGGGAATGGTTCACGGCAGTACATTTTCGAACGACACATGTCGCTCCCGTTGCCATTCGGCTTATCCGACATAAAACCAAACTCCAGCTGGGTATTATTTCGGTTTTTGTTCCTTACGAGTAGTTCTAGATAAGATGATGTTCTCATAATACTCACATGGTTACACATTTCTTCGCCATATAAACTGTTCTTCCCGCATGCTTTTGTCATAAAGGAAAATGTTTTGTCTATCGGTCGCATTCTGGAGCAACAAAAATCCCGTTGCTCTACAGAATCGACAGATAGAGAAATTATGTTTTCCCGTCGTCCCGCTGCGAGACTAATAGCCTCAACAAAAACTACGGCGATCAAAAACGCAGGCGGCGTACTGGAATAAAATATTACATATGTACAGTAGTAGAAGAACGATATTCCGAGAACGATGAATTTGGATTCCGTTGTCGAAATGGCACAGCAGTCACAGTATACGTAACGCGTAAAAGCCCATGAACTGGTACGACGACGCGCAGTACACTTCTTCGTACCAGTGCATGGGCTGTTCGGCTTGGACGAACGACATCCCGCATTCGATAGCGGTGAATAGCCTGGCCATTGTCATGATTCGTCCGCAGCAGGCCCGAGAAAATCTTGAAAACGCCGAGTGAACTATACCAAATCCATGTATATCTATCCAGGTATCGTTGCAAAATATTTCAAAAGGCTAGCTAAGTTCGTACACCAATGTATAAATGACAAAATTTCAATAAAGCACATGGTATATTTGGAATGATCCGGACACCACCTGATGGAAATACGTGTGGAAAGAGGAGATGCGTTTACTTTTATTGTTTGCTTTACGGCTATAGATAAGCTGCCTCTGTTTTCGACTTTGCCAATGTGCTGCAAACTAGCGTTCATGTCATGGCACCCGCCACAAAGGGTATGTGACACCTCGTATATTAAATTTCTTAAAAGCGGTCAGCTAATATTTGAGGCTGTTACTCCTAGTTGTACTTACTAGTTACTTGTGGCATCTACAGTACGTACTCAGCACTCTCACCGGCGGAAGTTCCTAGCACCAACCGTCGTGAAAAACAGGACATTCCATTTCAAACAAGCTTGGGTTAGCATAGTGCTTTTACAAAGCTTGGGTATTATTAAATGCGCAAGATTAAAAAACATGGAAATGCAATCCTTAGAGGGAAGTTTAGAGGAACCTTCAGAGTAAGATGTGTGATTAAATTGTCCATCTTTAATGGAATTTGTTAAATGTTTTGTAGAGAAATTGTTCGTTAGCTTCGCTCTCCGCCCAAAAGTAGTAATATCAATCTACTGTCCGTAACATTAGACCGGTGTTGTGGTGCTGTACGAAACGTGTCAGTTTTTCCTGCTGGTACAGCGCCGGAGCACCGGTCGTCACCGTCACTCGTCGCTACCCTGTTACTGTGGACGGTCTTCGTGAAATTTTTTGTTATCGTGCTGACGCTGTACGCCACCGACGTTTGCATAATCATCGCTGCAGAAATTTCTTCAGACAGCTATTACACAGGACATTTTCTCCTGTTTAACTGTGGGTGGATGTCATATTCCCTGTGGAAGGGAATTACTCTGGCTCATAATCTGCCATTTACATATCGAGTACGACTGCCATACGCTGCCTCGACTACAGTAGGTGTTTAAGTTGAAGCAGGGAACCATCTGCAACTTTTTCCATAGGTGCGCGGCTACAAAGGTCAGTTCTAACACATTTTTTTCCAACCAGCGGCCACGGAGGAAAAACGGACGGTCTTGCCGGAACTCCGGCAGCTTTTGGATCTCCATTGTTGAGATATTGATGGGTTGCTGATGATAGTCTGGGTTATTTGGGAAATAATTGGTAAGGATTTTGCATTGCGGCAATACCATCTGTCGAATCGGATCGGCCCAGTGTTTTGTCATTGCCGCAGTATTCGGCTTTTTGCAGGTTTGTTTTACTTTTGCACACCTATAACCTGTAATGCCCTTCACAGAGCTCCGTAAAATTTTGCCGTTGAATAAAATTAAAATATCTGTGTGTTAAAACGTAAATTTACTTTGAAAATACTGCCTGTTGACTCAAGTTTCTTTTGATTTGTTTCTCGCTCAAACTTTTATACAGATATGCTCTTCTACTCTGGGTGTACTGTTCATGACAAACACCGGGCATGGTTCTGCTATTCCTTTCGTTTTTCTTTAAATTTGAATAAATTCTTCTTTAGAATTGGAATAAAAGTGCCCTCTTCTGAAAGACAAGACTTTTATCTTTACAACCAGCTGAAAGCGTCAAGGTGAATAACCGACGGAAACCGTGCGTTAAGGAGATCTACAAAAAAACGGTATTATTGACACAATACACTACTGTAGCAAAATAACGAAGTAAAACAGATAAGGTTTGTCGGCTACACCATATTATAAGCTGGTGGACTTGCTGATCCACACGACTTCCGCTCAGGCAGTATCTCTAGCTGCTTAACGAAGGTCATACTAACATCCGGTTACTCAGTACTAAGTGTAAGACGGAATATGCGCGCAGAATCTAGAACTGAGCTAGAATCAAGATTTGTCAAGACTCAAGATTGACTCTGAGGTCCAGAATCACGGCTCCATTTGCCCATTCACTCAACGGACGCGTGCTAGAGCTACACCGTAGCTGCACCATGTTCGTAATTATTGCGAGACAGTACGATAAAAAAATGTTATAACTGGAAAAATGCACGTTGGTGTGCATTGGCAGACCGGAGCGAGGCTTGAACAAAATGTCCACTACGAAAAAATTGTCAAATGAAACGAGTTTGTCGTTTATTTTTAAGAACGTTTTTAAGAAAGGGTTGGTAAGTGTTGACAGTTACGGCTAACCGAAGTTACCGAGATTGACATTAAATAAAAAAGATAGAGCTTAAAATTTTATATTTAAACATTGTGTGATTTAACAAAAATAGTTTTATAATGTTCTTTACGTCTTTTTAAAACTTGTTTGTCCTATAAAAACCCCATTGGTGCTAGAATCGGTTAAGAGATATCGTTTTGAAAGAAGTGGTCAAGAAGGGAGACAAAATAAGCTGCCAACAGGACACTAATTTTGGCATGAAACATACAGTAACTGAAACGAAACCCCAGGGTTACTTAGGTTGCACAAGTGGAATTGATAGATCGGGAAGTGGAGATATTGTCAGGACTCTTATTAAACTATTGGTGACCACTCCGTACACACCTCTTCACACCCTTTTACTCCGTACACAACCTTTTGCACTCCCTTTCATTCCGTGCACAACCTTTTGCGCACTACCATTCACTCGGTGCACTACCAAACTTTTATATATATTTATATATATTGTACTCATATGTTTTAATGGGCAATAGCCACCACGATAACAATGAGTGCGAGCGCCGGTACACTACTTAATAGTTAAAATTTAAACATTAAAAAAACAACCAAAATCTCTATCTTCTCTTGGATTAAAAGGTAACGTGCTCAAGATAGCCGTGGCATTTCCTTTTACAACAGCGAGACTGAAGCGCTGCTTAAGAAAAGCAGTAGAACGCGCTTCTCCAGTTAAATCACGAATTTTACGGCCCATGAAACGCAACAGTTCACTCAGAGCGGGGCTAAATACTCCCAACGTCTCGATCGCTAAAGGGTAGAAAAAGTATCCATTTCCCAAAAACGAATATGTCCGCCGTTTAGAATTTTCTGCAAGCTGAGCCACGTGTACAGATTTCTTCGAACTGCCGGTGACATGCGAGTCTGCGACCGTGCACCAACTGGTTACATCCCACACCAGCGGCTTCCCTTGGCGGACAGGAATCAGTGTCATCCCGTCGGGCCTTTTTCCGTTTGTGCTCGATAAGCCGGTCGGTTCTAGCTGACAAGGAAAACCGGCGCTTTCGCAACAATTCTTTGCAATACTGTTCATTTCTTTGTGCCGCGCCCATCGTCCCTTGGTTGACTTATTGCAGGATAACCCGTGGTGCCCGTTAGTTTCTACTTGAGTTCCGCACGCAATGCAGTTGTGTGCCACCACAACTGGCAATCCAAACCGCAATGCGACACCGATTCTGACCTCGTCGTCTCTAAGGGACGTTCCCAAGCATGGAGCGGGCAACGCATTCAACCAGGCGCCAGAGTCTCTGTCAAGTGCAGACAGCAAAACCGCCCTGTCACGTTCTTTTCCTTCTGTACACAACATCAGCATGGCAATGTCCCGCTCAATCATTGGTGCATCCCATGCGTACTGAAACTTTCGAATAAAATCAGCCGGGATCTCGCATTACGTATGCTGTAGCCAGGACTCCATAGCTGCTCTCGTTAGGCACTCTTCAGTTGACTGGTAAAATTCAGAAACGATGGTCTGCACAGAGTACACCGATGCCAAATAGGCACAAACAGCTAATGTCTCTGTGCGGCGCGTTCCCAAACCTCCCCGCCGTACTGGAAGAGACATTTGAGTCCACTGCACTTCAGATATCTTATATATTGTACTTAAATACTTGTAATCTGTAATACTACAGAAACGCAAAACTACAAAAAAAATATTACTACTTTTTTGCAACATCATGGGACCGTTCCGACGAAGACGTCCTGGTGTATGACAGCGTCGGCAAATAACTCATGTGGCAGGGGAAGAATGAAATATACAAGTGTTACGGAGCAGATCTTGCAGAGATT